TTTTAATGATCTTTATTTTTGTTATTACACTGGACAATTAGTCATGAATGTCAGCATAAATAATTGATATTTTAAGTTGGTCGAGACATGCATATCATTATTTTAGCATTAGTATACAATTGCAATGTAGATTGATGCAGTTGTTGGATTTGCAGTTGCTTGGTTTGGTTTCTTTTCTTCAGATTAAAAATTAATATGAAAACTGCGCCGTTAAAATAGCAATGATGTACTACTTTTGCTTCATTGTATTTTCTTAAATTTTGACTTTTTCCATTTCTATCAAGGGTGTGTGTAAATTGACGGCTGGAGGAGGAAGCTCGAAAGAACTCCGTCGACGGTTAGATATACGGTTAGTCAACACAAATTACGGTTATAATATCCGGGAGAAGCAGCTAGGTGTGAGTATAACAATTATCGGCAAAAAATCTGGGTTTCCTTTTTCTTGTTGCAAAAACCTTGGTATTTTGGGCTTGTGGGTTTTTTGTTTTTCTCTATATAATTACGTTTTAAAACGTTAATGCATGGGTGTGACAATGAATTTTTTTAAATTGTGCCAATTACGTCATTACCAATTGTTTCAGTCCCCGTATAGCACTTTTACATTGCTCTGGCAAGTTCATTGCAAACTTTATGCAGATAAAAAGATTAGATTTTGGGAAGAGCGCCAAGAAGATTTTTTGTCACGCATATGCGACCAAAAAGATTGCATAAAAGATTAAATATATTAACCTTTACACTCAGCTTAATGTTAGTATAATTATATTGTAAAGGAATTTTCAAATGCATAGCAACGTCTTGGTGTTGCTGCATGACAAACCTTTGCTAATTTCTCATCCAATTTTCATCCAAATCTAACCAAAATGTATTATAAAAAGATTAGATTAGATGTTATAGTATTTCATATCATTTTATTTTGTTTCGTTTCGTGTTTTGTGCGTGTTTTGTGTGTTTTGTGTGTTGTGTTGTGTTGTGTTGTGTTTTGTGTGTTGTGTGTTGTTTTGTTTTGTTTTGTGTTGTGTTGTGTTGTTTTGTATTTTGTGCGTTTTGGTTTACTATATATAGTTTTATTTTACTTCATACTGTACCTTCTATATTACATTGTAAGATTATTTCGTTAGAATTTTTTTTTTTTTAATAAAGATATCGCATTCTTTCATCACCATATCATGCATATACTCTATTTTGTTTCATTATTTTTGTGCTGCCTTTGTACAGTATTCATGTTACAATGTTGCAGTTAAAGACTAGAATTTGACAGGACTCAAATTAGCATGCGATCTATTGTGATGACCAACATCACAAGCCATGCAGGCTCTCTATATACATCCGCTTCCCTCCCAAACTGGAGCGTGTTTAGGATGGAAGCGGAAGTAGAGAGCCTGTATTGCGAGGTTGCGTGATGAATTAAATAACGGTCAGTCCTATCTATTCCGATAGATTAATTCCTGCAGATCAGTTTTACTGTGGAATTCTTTATTTTACGGGGAGTGACGAGTTTAACCGTCAAATGAGGCAACATGCGTTGGACAAAGGATTTACCTTGAATGAATACAACATCAGGTAAGGATATGTCATTTGTTCTTTCAATAAAAGAAAAATTAAGAGGAGATTATTTTGTATGTTACGTATAATACTTGCATGCTCAATAATGAATAAAACACTAGTATAAAGCCATTTAGTTTTAGTATATACACTCAACCATGGACCATTACAAATCCAGCATTCTGATTGATACTCAACCATGGACCATTTCGTAAGGGGCCATGGTTGAGAGAAAAAGATGGCGGAAAATTTTGTGTTGCAAAGTGTTTGATGGAATTTTGTTGAAAATTATTTGCCCGAAGAACAAAAAAAGATACAAAATATGATCAGCACGCAGACATTTAATGGTAGGGAGCAAAATTTAAACCGTATTTTAATAATAAATCTGCCGTTACCTGCCACAAAATGTGACACGAAGACAGACGGAGTTGCAGAGCACTTGTTTCTGTACACATTATAAGCAAAACCGTTGAAATATCAACTGCTTGTAGTTACTTAATCATGCGTTTCTTTGTCTAAAATGTGATTTTAGGTTTATAACGGTTATATTTTAAGGGTTTTTTCTCTCTTTAAATAATCTTTCTTCTGTGCTTCGACATTTCCCGCCTAAAAACAACTTTCCTTATAGCTTCCGAGTTTTTCGATAAAATTTAAATGGCAAACTTTGTCTATGCATTTCAGGTGATGGCACAATTAATTATGTCATGTATTTGCATTGGTCGTATTTCATTGATTTCAACGACATTAGGATTGCTTTCCGTGCATTTTATACTTCTTTGTTTTTCTTTTAGACTTGTCGGAACCGCGGGTAAGCTATTGACGATTGTTTAACGATTTAACTTGTTTAACGATTTCTGTTGTTTTACGGCTCTCGGGATACATCCATGGAGGCACAGAATAGAAAATAGACCAGAAGCCTCACCCAGCCAAAATTGTGTCCGAGATTTTTTATGTGCAAGTGCGAGCCAGCAAGTGTAATCACGACGCCATCAAACGCGAGCAACGCCATCAATTGCCATCACTAGGTAATAAAGATTGCTGTTTTAACCGTTTTTAAATGCCACAAGTCCAAATAATGGGTCATCGCAACAGGAAGACACAACGTAAAAAACAAAAGCGTAAAATATTTGCACAATAATTGCAGAATATGCAGCGTACACTTTGAGCATGTTTTTCGAATTTCAAGAAAAACCGTTGATTTGAGGAATTGACGCTGACGTAGCGTGCGCAGTTCGTGATCCGCAAGGCGAAAATCGCGGACACGAAAATGTTAAGGAAAGGTGTACAGTGAGGCTTCTGGTCTATTATATATTCTATGATGGAGTCATGTGTTTTGTTAATTAGGTGGTGTTTAATTCGCTGCGGATAAAGATATTTTAAATCCAAATTGTATATACAGTGTTGAAATAATACTATACATGTATATATACAGTGTTGAAATAATACTATACATGGTCACTATACAAGAATATTTCGCCGCTGTGCAAAGCCTAACTTATACCTATGACGTCGAATTTTGCATGTGCATAATTCAAGCAATCGGATTCGACGCATGCAAAATGCGACGTTTGATACAGGCCTTATTGTATCAAATGCATCAATGTCAATACGCAGTTTTTGCCCTTGTACGCAGGATATACACGATGAGCCATGTTAGTTTTGTTTTTTCTTTTATTACAGGTGCGGCTGGCGAAGCACTGCCAGTGAAGAGTGAACGAGATGTGTTTGATATTATAGATATGGAATATCGACCTCCAAATGAGCGAGATCTATGAACCGATTTCGAAGGCCGTCCGCGAAGTCCCGAACTCTTTGAGGTAGTAGTAGAAGCGTGGAGGAAAGATCTGGGAGCCTCGTTGCCGTACTTAACATGAAAGTTGTACCTAATTAAGTGAGAACATGACGTGAAAGCCGTATCTAAGTTAGAACATTCAAATAGAGCGGCAGTACGATCACGAGTAAGAGATTCGCCATCTTCGCGCCAAGTACGCTTACATATAGAAACAAGGGCAAACGTCCACGACTCAAAGATGCATTTGAAAAACTTTTAAAATTAAGAAAATTTTAAATTTTCGGCAGCTTCATTAGAAACTAAGTGTTCATAAGCATTAAGTTTATTTATTAGCAATAGCGATAGTAATCTATTTCCAAACGCTCTACTTCTTCCCCGTCCACTGCTGGCTGTTCTCAACATCCTATAGATAAGAATGGAACAAAACGTATAGTAACAAAAATGCACGGCTGAGCGAAATGGTAATTTTTATTCCATATCACGTGATCATAGCCAGCCGATTAAATGGCCAGAATCTAATGAGGTGTTATACTGTAAAATAAAATACTTATTGGTTAGAACCTTCGGGAAACAGTATATTTTGTGAATCCGAAACTGCCTATGTTTCACGAAACGAAGCAGACAGAAACATTGGCAAATCATTAATCCGAAAAAAATTCAAAATAAGCATTCTTTCTACGTTGTTTGATGATCAACAATGTTACATGATGTTTAGCTGACATAGTTAGGTTGTCCGTCTTTTCCATCGTTTGTCCGGTGTCCGCGTTTTCCAATAAACCCTTTGATTGGCTATTTCGTTGGTTAATGCTAATTAGATTAATGCTGATTGGTTAATGATAGTTACTCCAGACGAAGACATTGATCAAGACTTGTCGCAGGTTATCTGCTTACCCAACCTCGTACCCAGGGTCTTTCCTCTTGGGGGACGCTGGTCACGTGATCTGCTAAAATCTAGCAGATTTTTAATTAGCAATCCAAGATCAGGTCAATAAACATTTGATATTTGGATTATTTTGATAGTTTAATTTATAATTTGCATTTTGTATGATTGTCGTAAAGAAAACCAAGATAGTTAATTAGAAATCTGCTAGATTTTACCAGATCACGTGACCAGCGTCTACCAGGGTCTTTGCTCCCCAAGAGGCATGGGCGTACCAGAAGGAAAAATTTAGGGGGGCGGAAAGAAATTTGCCCGACTTTTCAGGATTATTCCCGACTAGTACCAAATAATTTTTTTCCGGAAAATTATTTT